AAAAAAAAAAAAAAAAAAAAAAAAGAGCAAAAATTATTTTTAGCCCGCGATCGAAACTATTTATATATGATAGTTGTAAAAGTGTATAAAATTTATATATTTTTTATATATAACATACAAAAATGTATATATATACAAAAAAATATATATTTTCAGTTATTATTTTAAGAGTGGCTATAAAATATTATTTTCCAAAAAATATTGCAGTACTTGGGGAAAAAAATCAAGAAAATAATTTTTTATTCATCATTATTTACAACGAGAGGTGACAATTACTCTACTTCATGTTCTTGCTTTTTGTCATGACTTCATGAGGTAATTAAGAATAGAAAAATTACTGTCAGTTCAACTGTTTGCCAAAACTATGTAATTCTTTTCTTTTATTTTGTAGGACTTCTTAGAGTACAGTTCCATAGTTGTAGTCCCACAAATAGAGATCTTCTGGCCAAAAGTCACTGTGATTAGAATCATTGCTTTCAGCTCCAGCTAATTCCCAAGGTGAATTATAGTAACAAAATTTATCAAAATTTTGACTAAGGTCCATAAGAAGATCTGGCAAATCAAGAAAAGGGTCCTCATTTTTGCAACTTAAAGATGAAGCTGAAGATGATGATTCTCTTGACTCTATTTCTTCAGGGGAAAATTGTTCCATTAATTCACCTTGACTCTGTTCAGAAATACAATTTCTTGGACAAATGTTTAAAGCAGCAGCTTTTGCAGCAGCAGCTTGAATATCTTTAGCACATTTAGAAACTGGTTTAGGAAATTGGTGGACTAATTCAGGGAAATTGAGTAAAGCTAAGTGACCTTTAATTGCAATTGCAGCAACATCATGTGCTCTAGCAGCCATTTCAGCAGTAGCAAAAGTACCTAACCAAATTCTTGATTTTTTCTTTGGCTCACGAATTTCGGACACCCATTTTCCCCAGCTCCGTTTTCGAACTCCGTGGTATATAGGGTGTTTTAAGTCGTCAATTTTCTTGGTTTTCTTGTTCATGTCACTGCATTTATTTTTCTTGTAAGTGGTTTCTTGTTTTGATGATGCTAAGGTTGTTGGTTTTTGTGAGAGAGATGAAGAAGGAAAAAAATGGGGGGTTGTGGAAGAGGTTGTTTGATTGTTAGTGTTGATGAAAATGAGAGATTTCTCTTCCATAGGTGATAGCGAAAAATATACGAGGGATTATAGAGCTACAAAGTTTTAGGTTTAGTGAGCTACTTATAGTGTTTTGGTTCTTGGGCTTATTGTCACTTTTTATCTTTTCCACTAGAGATGGAATAATCCCAAACAAAAAGAAAAAAAAGTGAAAGTAAATAGTACTATTTACTACTAAAATATTATATATATATATATATANCTATTACTCGCGTACAATTTATTATGGGCAAATATATACACAAACATTTTTAACTTGTCTAAACTTTTCGTTTTGACACTTAAACGTTATGACATATGGAACACTTAAACAAGGTTAAAACTGTACCACCGTCTTCCATAGATGTTCTAAATAACTTCTTCATGCTCATCTTGTATCGGAAATATGAGGCAAGCTCATTGCTAATGTCATAACCCATAACCAATTGGGAGCTTGTCGGATTTCTCATCCTCGAGCTCTCTGGTTCATAGCTTTGGTTGTATCAGTGTCCGCTTTGTTTGATCTACTTGGCGTTTGGAGCTTGCTCGTGAGTTCCTAAAAAGCTTTCTTGCCATTATCTAGCTCATTGAGAGCATAACATTTTAAAGTCTATGTTTTAAAGCTGTGAAGTTCTAATTTGAGGGATAATTAAATTTGAATCCGCCTTTGTTGGGTCTCAAATATTTTTTGGCGAAGACGATGAAGGCAGATTTGGGTCTCTTAACACACGAAGAAGAAAATGATTACAGCTCATCCAAAAATTTTCCGGTGAAACTCTATTTTCTCGTACAAGAATTTTGGCTTTGAAGAAGAAAATGACTGTGAGGATGAAGAACAAGACAACTTGGAAAAAAACAAACAGAAATCAAATTTTTGTGGCCATTACGCGTCCTTGTTAGGTGAGATATATATGAATTGCCATGTCACCCAGTTGTGTTCAATTGGTACAGGTCTAATCTAGTTTAAGTGTTTGATAGGTCATAAGCTTAGTTTAGATGTCTAAATAAAAAGTTGGGATAAGTTTAAGTGTTTGCGTATGTATTTGACCTTTATTATTCATGGGTACAATGGTATGTATTTTCATGTGACATGAGGCCTTAAACTATTGGTTGGAACACTAGAAAGAAATTACACCGATCTCCATTGTTCATTTCAAATAGAGAAGAGTAATTATTTCTATGATGAGTGAAAGTATCATAGTCATAGAAAAAACGCTGTCATATTTGACATAGGGATTACATAGTATTACCAAAGTAAACTAAGAGTGAAATTAAGTACCATAATCATAAATGACTCTCCAATGACAATTTCTTATTGTGTGACATGAGTCATAGAGATTACACAGTATTACTAAAGTAGAAACAACTTAAGTGTGGACTTGCATAGAAAATGTCCCAAATCAAGCTCTCCCACATGTAGTACTCACTACCAACTCAGTAACTAGTCAAAGTTTTTGTTCTTGCCTAGACAGTAGACACCGATGTGTTTCACAATTTGTCCACTTTGACATTTACAATTATATTTCTGGATTGATACAATACTAAAATTTAATTTGATATTTTATAAATTTATCATGTGACTATTTTCCTTTTGTTGTGGTATATTTTCTTTAAGCGTTGTAAAAATAGACACTACTAAAAATTCGGGCAAAATCGTCTAAAATAATCGACCAAAGTGGGTCGGTAATGGCCCAAAACCGTCCAAAACGCGACCATTTACGTGTGGACGGTATTTGAAGGTCGGAAGGGCATACCGACCAACTTTGGTTGGTCAATTAAATTCAAAAAAAAAAAATTGCCTAAAAAATCGATCAAAGTTGGTCGATATTTTAATTATGTAATTAAAAAATGCACCATCTGAGAATCAAATCGGGGTCTGTACTGTGGTAGGATACTATTCTACTACTAGACTATTGATGCATTTTGTTCTAAGACTGTCTTTTATTTCATTTATACTCTTTAATTGTATTTTCGCATGAAAATAACCGACCAAAGTTGGTCGGTTTTATTAAAAAATAAAATTACCGACCAAATTCGGTCGATTTTTTAAAATGACCGGCTGAATTAACCAATCAATTTTGGTCGGTTTTTTAAATATTAATATTAATTTATTTGAAATGAAAAATCGACCAAAATTGGTCGGTTTCGTATAAACAAATTAAAAAATAAAATATTTTGAAAAACCGACCAACTTTGGTCAGTTTTTTGACCGATCAAAATTGGTCAGTCGATCGTGATCGGGTTTTGTCGAATTTTTAGTAGTGACATACAATACCTTAATCAATAAAGAAAAGAAAGTTTGAGAAAAAGAAAAGAAACGTTGGTGCTTTAATTGGGTGCTTTGGACACTTGAACATGTTTTGATATGTCTTTGGATGCCCTACTATTAATTGAAGCTTTGGTTAGAAGTTAGAACCATAGAAATATTTAATTCTCCCTTTGTGGAGGTAGCAGGCCTTAACTCGTTAGCTTGCCCCTTGGTCGTCTCTCTTACTATTTCTGTTTTCTTCTGGATTTCTTGTTCTTATGTTTATTAAAGGGACTATATCTGTTTATTCAAAAAATCGGATAATAATTGAATTTATATGTGATTTTAAGGATACATAATCCAGTTTGATACAAAGCGGAAAATCAGGTTTAATATGGAAGAATAAATAGAAAAATAAATACAAACCATGCAAATTGAAAAACTTAAACCTCGTAGGATTAACTTCCTTTTAATTTAGGAGAGATATTACCAGAATATTATTGAAGCTATAATAATATGAATAAAACTGAAAAAAATAATATCTTGCTCTCTTAAGTATGTTACAATATCCCCAATGAATTATTACATTCCCTTTATATATACGGGGAGATGAAACCTTTAAGATATTATTTTATAAAAAATTATGTAGACTGTTGGCTCCCTTTTTGACTTAATCCCGTAATTTCCGCCATAATAATTGGTCAATGGCGAGAATC